GGGGGGGGCTTCTTCACATCAGCCCCTTCCCTGGGTGGGCGGGGCTCAATCTCACGACTCTGGGATCATGACTTGTCCCAAAATCAAGAGTCAGACCTTTAGCTGACTGAGCCACCCAGGCGCCCCTCCATTGACAATTCTTGTCTGAATCAATACTACTATATTTTCCAAGTGGCAATTATCTAAATTCAGCACTTTTCCTACATTTAGTGGTTGACATTCTATTGGCTTACTGTAAAGAAAAGATTTCCTTTGCCCCCCTTTCCTCATTTATTTACATCAGTGTGACCCATACTCTCCCGTTTTATTCAACAGGCGACAATCTGTTACCACCACTATTAATTCTTATGTTCACATGTTTCATTCCTGGCTGGTGGAAGGCATCCTATTGACGTGCCCTCATCAGTCTCGGGGCGCATCCTAGCTTTCTGGAGCAAAGATGCTCCAGGCCCCTCTTGTGCTAGCTACCAAGATCTGGGTGTGGTTGTGGGTGTGGCTTCAGGCACATTCAGTGGAGAGAGCCGGGGTGTGATACATACATGCACACATTCATCCGCACACAGTCCGTATTTCCCTCCTCCCTGTGAGTGCACGTATACACCTGTGCACGTGTGTGCAAGTGTCTACACCTGTACAGACACAACCCACATTTAATCAATACAATATATCCATACATCTATGGACTATGAGTGCACATACGACATACATGAATCTCCAGGAGTTCATACCAATACTTCTAATCCCAACCCAGAACCTCAGGGTTTATTCTAGTTCCCCCTTTCCTTGCTGATACCTCCATCCTCCAACAGGGAGAAACCTGGTTCCTGTTTTCCTCAATATACTCATTTGCTTAGTCTTAGAACACACTGGGATCCTTTTCAGAAGTGGTAACCATACCATGGCACAAGTAAGCGTGCAAACTAGAGTCTGGTGCTCGTTTAGAGTTCTGTCTTTAACTTGGGGGTTCATAGTCAAAATGCTGTGTTCAAGTTACGCGGTTTCTTCTTTACATCAGTGTGGCTGTGTTACTCCTCTGAAATATAGCGGAATCGCTTAGTACTGCTAGCACTGTTTCAGAGTCCTTCTCCCATTTGGTTGATTTTGTCCTATTATTTTTAGCATGTAAAACGTGAACACGGCTCCAAACGGTGTGTCCCACCCCCGAGGGAGATCAGTCTTCGTTACCAGCTCAGCCTGTCTGTGCATCTTTTTGCACAGATGCACCTGCACTTTATTTTTCCTATTTGACACTTTTCACTATAAGGATTTCTTTTCCCCACACAAACAACAATCAAATCTCCAGTCCCCCAGTACCAGCCGGGTGTCCTACAGTTCAGTGCTATGACACCTGTTCCTCAGCGCCGGCACAGACCCCACAAGTGAAGGGCTCAGCCTCAAGAGCCTGCTCCCGATTCCGACGCTGGTCACAAGTATGGGAGCCTCAGGCCATATGCATTTCTCTCCAACTCAGCTACCAATTTGGGGACCCCCTCTTCAGATTTGATAACTCAGTATAACTACTCACAGAACTCAGGAAAGCACCTGCTAGATTACTGGCTTATTATAAAGCGTACAAATCAGGGACAGCCGGACGGAAGAGGCATAAGGCCAGGGGTGGGCCTAGGAGCAGGGAACTTTCCTGCACCTGGGTGTTCAATCTGGAAGCCCTGGGAATCTCCTTGCTCTAACTAGTGCTCGGTGCCTTCCCTGTCACGCAGGAAATGCCGAGGGTCTCAGGAGCTCTACACCGGGACCCAGGACAAAGGACAAACACATGCTTCATCCGAGCACATTCACCTAACAAACACAGAAGGTCATGCCACACGGTGCTCATGCGCTGTCCTCGTTCCTGTCCCAGCTGCGGGCTGCTCCGCCACACAGGGCTCTTTACCGGGTTTACGGTACTTTGCTGCAATGAATAATTTACGCGTGTGCGGTTTGTGTTGTGGGGAACTTATCTTCAAAGCAAATTCCTACCAGTGGTCTTGGTGGGTTAAATTTTTTTATTTTATAAAATTATAACATTTTATAATTTATATTTATAAACTTAAACCAGTGTCAGGGACATGAATTCCCGTCTTCTAGCTGGAGTAAGACAGATTAACAGGAGGAAATCAAACTTAACGATGTACCAACAGGAAATCCACATAGACCTGGAAATTCCAAAGACAGGCGAAAGGAGGTACACATGTCGTCCTGAACCCAGGAGAAGGGGGTGGGGGTCCGGGACGTCAGAGGAGGGAATGCACTTCACAGCGAGATAAGAGAAACAGATGTTGGTAATTAGACGTTTGCCCCACCAGACAGATGAGTCACTCCGACAGAATGCATCTCGGTTAATAACCCTTATTCTGGGAAAGACACCCCGCCCCCGTTTAGATTCCTGCATGTGGTTAAGGGAAGGACAAAAGTTTCTCTTGAGCCCACAGGGTCTCAAGTGCCTTCAGCTCAAAACCATCCACAAGCCAACGTGGCACATTCTGGAGAGGTCTGTCCTGAACCTCCCCAGCTTTCCCAAGCTTTAAAGCTCCATTTAAAAGCTTGCTTTCAAATGTAGTAACTTTTATGTGTCTCTTCACTCATTCTTTAATTTTCTTTTAACTTATATATTTGATATATAGTCAGTCTCTAATTTTTAAAGACATTTCACAAACGTGATAAACTTAATTAGATGCCCTGGGTATTTCAAGCTCTAACCATAAATTGATACAACTGATTCCAACCTACAAACAAAACCTTTACGAACATTTGTTCACTACTCACCATCTAATACAACGGAGTCAGAGTCAATCAGATCTTAAACTGGAATTCTCTCACACATTCTAAAACGAAAACCTTAGGTTACTGAGATTAACTTTCAACCCTTCAAATTAAAACAAGTCGTTTATGCTACGTGAGCAACGAGCACAACTTCACGACTTGTTGTGCCCCAGGACCTCTGGGCAAACCCAGCGAGGGTTGCAGGAGCCGCTCCGCACCCTCCCGGCATCTGTGTGCACAACTGCCCAGAGCACCCCATTCTCCCCAGGAGGCTCCGTGACAGGGTGTGCAGGCCCCTGCCAGGCCCCCTGCAGCGGGCCCAGCTCCTGTCTCAGGGTCCCACACATCCTCTGGGTGTCCTTTCAACTTTGTTCTTACCCAGATTTTACAGAAACCTCTTGCAAAAACCCTTTCCCAAGCTGGCCGCCCTGGAGTGGGACCACAGGCTGGCTCACTTCAGGTGGGCCTGGCCTTCAGGGGTGCCCAGGACATACCCCCCAGAACCCTCTGCCAGGTTCGCCACCTGCTCACCGTCCCGTCCTAGGCTCTGCCCTCGGGGAGCCAATGTGGACACCCTCTGCACTTTGTTCACCCGTGGGTCTTGTCCACGGCGTGTGGTGCCAGTATTGGGGAGGCTCGAACGCACAGCCCGGAAGGTCCTTCGTGAAGAAACTAAAAGAGGCTTTGTTGATAGTGTCAGATAAAATGTCCGAAAGTTAAAACGATTCTTACAGAAACACAGAACGTGTCCCAAGATCACGGGCTCCCACAGGCTGGCGGGACTCGGGGAAAACGTGAGGAGATCTGAGCTCAACGCAGAAAGAAACCCTGGACCCTCAGGGGCCCAACCGGGCAGAGATGCACCCGGGCGCCGTGGCCTTTGGGGCCGTCCTTTCGCTGGACAGACTGCGTGCACGACCCGATGTCCGGGGCCGGGCAGACCTAGGTTGTCAGACGCAGTCAGCTCTGCTTCCTTCGGCTGCACATTCGGCAAGAAGGACACATTAGCAGGGCACGAATTCTGTTTCTGTTCGGTGGGCTGTGGTTTCCACCATGACAAACACCAGGCAAACACACGGGATATGCACATGCCACGCACATGCATGCACGCGCACACACGCATGTACACGCAATGCGCACACGCACGCGCACTCACGCAGACGCACACGCACACACGTACACGCAATGCTCACACGCACGCACGCGCACACACGCGCAGACGCACACGCAATGCGCACACACATGCACACGCGCTCACGCAGATGTACGCACGTGCGCACACACACGCAGACGCGTGCACGCACACACATGCGCACATGCACGCGCGCATGCAGACACACACACACACACGCACGCGCTCACGCAGACACGCACGCACACACAATGCGCGCGCAGACGCACATGCGGGCACGCACGCACACACAATGCGTACACGCAGGCGCACGCGCACAGACACCCACCGGCCCCATCGGTGTGCCGTGCGTTATGCCCCACCCCCAGCACCTGTGTGACTACCCTCTCCCCTCTTGCTTCTCTCACTTCCTCTCGGCTCTTTCCTCAAAGGGTGTTTCAAGGTTAAATGCCTTGGCCCATCAGGCAACCCCC